TTAATGCAAATTTAACAGAACATCGCATTCGTTTGAATGTATACTTTAATCCAATGGGATTAGTGGTGGCACGTGTAGCAAAGCGAATTATGCAGTCTAGGCGAGCAGGCCAATTGAGGGCGAAGAGCGAAGGGGGGAAAGGCCCTTGAATCGATCGCCCTCCCGCGCGCCCTTGAGCGGGGTCAAGGCCCTTCGTTTCTTTCCTTGCTACGTGGGGTGGCCAGACCGAGGAGCGAAAGTATGGGCGCAGCTGTGAAAATCGATACCAACGCTAAAAATACAATCTTGGTTGGCCACAAAAGCTATTTAAGAACAGCACTACAAAAATCAAAGAGTTTTTTCTATCTGCCCCACATTTTACACTATAATGTATACGAGTAACGACTTACGATGTAAATGTATAAAAAACGCGGTAACAAACCTTAAAAGTAGGTTCAATTAAGTATCCTAAACTATAATAAGGTATATATTATATTAAAATTTGTAGTATCATCTAATAAAAAGCACTTTTTTAAGCTGTTAGTATTGTTCTCGGACATCTTAAATATTAAGTGTATTTATTATCTATGCCTGACATGACATTTATGACATTTCTGAGTTATCTCAAAATAAAAGTGAATATTGAATTATTGCGACATCTTATTTGCTTCAATAATCTTTTTGCATTGAGTGGACCGAGAGATCATTAATCTTTATAACAAAATCATAAAAGAGAAAGAAATCAAGACTTATCTCGTCAAAACCAGTAATGCAATTCAATTGTTCATAGCATCCGGAGTAGAGCTCATACACGTACCATCCCGCTTTGGAATGAGCTCCCCTGCTCGGTATTTCCCGAGCGCTATGACATGTCCTTCAAACGAGGCTTGTGGAGAGTACTTAACGGCAAGCAGCGGCTTGGCTCCGCACCTGTCACACAATATGGTCAAGTCATTTCGGGTCCTCCCCTCCACTAACGGTGCTTTTAGGTACCTCAAGCCCCGGTCATCGTTCTCGTCGAACCCGTCGCTTGCGACGAAGGGCTCGACGAGTAAATGAACCCACTGACACAGACCACTGAGTTCCTCGTCGGACCTTCTCAGTGGGTCGCGTTCCGATCCGGTGGTAGATTCTGCGAAGCACGGCTCTTGCTAGGGTTCGTGTTGGCAGCGTCGTCAGGTTTGAGCCCCGTGAGCTCACCTACTAGTTAAGGTTACGCTGAAATAGCCTCTTAAGGCTATATTAGCTTAGGTTTAAAAAAAAAACAATATGGTGGACTGTATGCTCTTCTGCCTACAAGGGAAAAAAGATCTTAATAGTGTAGTAATATGTCTCAACTTTTTATTATTATTATTTACACATACAGGCTTACACGACGTCTTACCGCCAGTAAGAACTGAAATTAGATTTTCCCGCTTTTGTTTTTTTAATACACGATGTTATTAATTCATTGTGGAAGTTATAAATAAGCATGAGTCAATAACATATCAAGGGGTGAGAGGTTATTTTGTTTAAGCCACATTTCACTTAATATGTGACATATCAATTTTATGTAGAGGTAGATAACCCTAGTACCAATCTTATGTTCTTTATGATGGTAGAAAATTTACATTTCGTATATTTTTTTGGTAAAACATGAGCTGCATCTAGCTGACACGAGTAAGATTTTAGTTTAGATGATAGCTTAACTCTTTGGAAGTGTTTCACATAAAATTAATTTATTTAATTAATTAATTAATTTATTTATTTTATTATTATTTGTGGTCATAGTTTAACAAAGATTAATAAATTAATATTAATAAATGTATCACTATGTCCTGCTAGTAAAGCGTACAAATATTAGGTGTAAGTATAATCTTCATAAAAAAAAAACCTAAAATTAATTTTAATATAGTAGAATAAATTCTAATATATTTTTAGTCCTTAACTAGCCATGAGCATTTTATTGTACGTCCAACTTACGGAAGGTAGATTAAATATAGTTATATTTCGAATATACATTGTTTGTTTTTTTTTGTAAATAAACAAACACCAGCACAGCCAACCAACAGCCCAGAAATAGATATGCGTTTGTTGAACATCATACGTAGCACAGACGCAACGGATTCGCCGCGGGTGTGTCTGACCGAACTAATTTTAAACGGTTTATTTTGAGATGTAAATAAACCTTGCTCTAGGTCAAATACAGAAAATAAACCGATATCATCAATGTGAAACGTCGTTAGCTGTTTTATTTAGGATTTTCGGTAACAAGAAACGACCAGTCTCTTGGTAACTTAACATTAGCTCACGAGATAATGATTTAAAAAATAGTTCTTAAGTTACAAATGTTTACATGGCACATTTGACGGGTCAGTCGCAACTACTACCTGTTCGCATCGCGGATGGATCAGTGTGCTCAATACGAGTTTTTAACGTTCTCGATAGCGTAAAAGTTAACTCAAATTTTTAGGTAGTTGGACAGCGCCCCTAGCGGCAAACGAAGGAATTTTTTTTTTCCTTCCTATGCTGATAGCCTTAAGAGGCTATTTCAGCTTCGCCCTAACGTTGTAGGTGAGCTCACGGGGCTCAAACCTGACGACGATGCTAACACGAACCCTAGCAAGAGTCGTGCTTCGCAGAATCTACCACCGGATCGGAAACGCGACCCACTGAGAAGATCCGGCGAGAAACACAGTGGGCTGTGTCTGAGAGTTATAAACGAAGGAAAACGTTACAACTCCATACAAATTTTAGGTAACTTTTACGTTATCGAGAACGTTAAAAAACTCGCACTAAGCATACTGTACTGCCAATAATGCAACACTGGGCACGTGTGCATGTTGAGCACTATGGATCCAAACCAACCTTTAGGTTAAGGTAGTTTTGACATTCATTTTTATTTTTAGTTTTAGAATTATTATTATTTTAATTTTGTTCCGAAATTTTTGCTATTCTCTTCTTTTTATTTTTTGTATTTTATGTGAAATGTTAATTAATGAATGTAATATGGACGCAAAATCTGAAGTAAATGAAATTAAAAAAATATATATTGCCAAACTTCTTTTTCACATACGATAATTTACAAACAAATGTCAGCAGTTCAATTTCTATTTTGGTGACAGAAAACTTTTTTATTGCCATTGTACATTCATAGACGAGCTATGGGCTAACAAACAGGAAGAAGTCGCCATCGCTGATGGATACCAGTAATGTCATGGGCGTAGACAAGCTGCTGTCTACTATTGAGGACTCTCCTCATACCTCGTTTGAAGAAGTGATGTCCTAGCACTCGTGAAAGAGTTGATTTCAAGACCGTTTTTTTTTATTTCTTAGATGGGTGGACGAGCTTACGGCCCACCTGGTGTTAAGTGGTTACCGGAGCCCATAGACATCTACAACGTAAATACCGCCACGCACCTTGTGATGAGGTCTAAGTCTTAGTATAGTTACAAATGCTGCCCCACCCTTCAAACCGAAACGCAAACCGCAAAACTGCAAAAATAGGCAGGGTGGTGGTACCCACGCGCGCACCGGACTCACAAGAGGCCCTGCCATCCGTAATAAAAGAAAAAAGTGACGGAAAAGCTATCTGGAAACGCATCGTGAATCCAGACAGTATGAATGAATACTGCTACTGCGGCAGACAGTACGATGGTGATAAAGATATGAAGGGGTCATCTCGAAACATTCATTCCCTACATAGAAAACACGATACAGAGTACTGAAAGAATCGAATTCCCAAAGTAGACCCAGAGGTTTCAAACGATGAGTGTAAAGTGTATCGTTAATCTGAACTACAGTCTTCTCTATGGAGTGAACTCAAACAACAAATCTTTTGTCCAGACGAAGGAACACTGCGCTTGGTTTTCCTTTTCAGCTAACTCCAATATTGAATAACACTCGAAGTTTAGACTTCAAGAATACTCTACTACAAGAAAACAATACTCTCGGAAGATAGTAGTGATACTCCTTGGAATTGCATTGCCATGATAAAGGCGACCTTCTTCGCAGTGAACGCGCAAACCTCTATTTTCAAACGGCCGAATTTGTTATCCAATGAGTTCTCCACTCCAGACGCAAGTGTCGATCGCCTCTCCTGCATAATGTTCCGAGAAAGAAAAACCTAAACTGATTCCAAAATTGAAATTACATGCATCTTAGCTAAGTGAAATCAATGCTGCCGGACAAACCACATTTGTCGATGCCCACTCACTTTCATGGAAAATTTTAGATAGACATAAATGTTGCGAGTGAACATACACAGATAGTGGTTATGTGTTAATTCTGATTGATAACGTGGACGATACATCATAGGATTTACTAATAGGTTGTTAAAGAGAAGTAAAATTAAAACATTATTACAGAAAGACGCTGTTGAAAGTTTGATACGACACGTTTAAAATGATAACAGGGTTGTAAAGAGACCTTATGGCTATTTAGGTCATAGCCTGGTAGGTACGTGACGTAATCCAACGCCCTTTTGAACTACCAAAAAATGACAAACTGACATTGTTTTGTACAGATTATACAGCTTAGGTCGACGACCGGTGACACTACGCAATGACGTTGACAAGTCACTCAAATCTCAGACGGGTTCAAGACACAGACGCATCAAAGGATGTTCATCTTGCGTGTTACTTACTCGTATGTATTGTAAAAACGTGAACAGACATCTTATGCCTAAGCGTAACCTGGGTACCTCTGATTCATTATTAACGAACACAGATTTCTACGGAATTAGTGAGTCCGCATAAAATTAATTTGGTGAATCAGATCTTTTGAAAGGTAGAAAGTACAGAACCAGTTTCCTTTGCATTTTTAATGGCGTTACGATGCGAATTTTAGAATGTTTCGTATTAAGCGGTCAACGACTCGCATTCCAATTAAAGACTGCAGTAAACAACGGTATGCAGCTGGGAGATTTGTGCTCCTAGCGTAACTGTCTCAAACGGTGCACGAAATCGTTAATTTCGGTGCACACGACGTACTGTTAGTCGGGAGCGGGGACAGCAAGTGAAAAACGTCAGTTATTATACCGGTATATAAATTTATTTTATTAAAAAGTTTTGGGGTTAGTAACTTTAATAAATAAAAATCTTTGTCAAAAAAAAAACGGCAACAACAACATTCCGTTCATTTTACGTAATATGCATATTACAATACCTTACAACCTACATTAAATACTGAATTTATTTACAAGATCACAAGCGTAATTTGAGCCACCCTCTTGAGGTTCTGCTGTAGGGCATCATAACTTAAAGTCTCAACGCTTAGAAGCACTTCCTGTGTACAATGGAGGGACCAGACTCGTCGTACTCCTGTTTCGAGATCCACATCTGTTGGAAGGTAGAGAGGGAGGCGAGGATCGATCCACCGATCCATACGGAGTACTTCCTCTCTGGAGGAGCAATGATCTTAATCTTCATTGTCGATGGGGCGAGAGCTGTGATTTCCTTTTGCATACGGTCGGCGATTCCAGGGTACATGGTGGTACCACCGGACAATACGGTGTTGGCGTACAAGTCCTTACGGATGTCCACGTCGCATTTCATGATGGAGTTATATGTGGTCTCGTGGATGCCGCAAGCTTCCATACCCAAGAACGAGGGTTGGAAGAGAGCCTCTGGGCAACGGAATCTTTCGTTTCCGATGGTGATGACCTGACCGTCGGGAAGTTCGTAAGACTTCTCGAGGGAGCTGCTGGATGCAGCGGTGGCCATCTCCTGCTCGAAGTCAAGAGCGACGTAGCACAGCTTCTCCTTGATGTCACGAACAATTTCCCGCTCGGCGGTGGTAGTGAACGAGTAGCCGCGCTCGGTGAGGATCTTCATGAGGTAGTCTGTGAGGTCGCGACCGGCTAAGTCCAGACGCAGGATGGCGTGGGGGAGTGCGTATCCCTCGTAGATGGGCACGGTGTGGGAGACACCGTCGCCGGAGTCCAGCACGATACCGGTGGTACGACCGGACGCGTACAGCGAGAGCACGGCTTGGATGGCGACGTACATGGCGGGCGTGTTGAATGTTTCGAACATGATCTGGGTCATCTTCTCTCTGAAACAGAACAAAGTCACTCGTTAGATAACGGTCGATAACGGCCCACCGGCCGAGAGGCAAAGTGCATAGTCCAGCATCGATGAACTCACCTGTTGGCCTTGGGGTTGAGGGGAGCCTCAGTGAGCAGGACGGGGTGTTCCTCGGGGGCGACACGCAGCTCATTGTAGAAGGTATGATGCCAAATCTTCTCCATGTCATCCCAGTTAGTGACGATTCCGTGTTCAATGGGGTATTTGAGGGTCAGGATACCTCTTTTGCTCTGTGCCTCATCTCCTACATACGAGTCCTTCTGTCCCATGCCGACCATCACGCCCTGATGGCGGGGCCTTCCCACGATCGAGGGGAATACGGCGCGAGGAGCATCATCTCCTGCGAAACCGGCCTTGCACATACCGGAGCCATTGTCTACTACCAACGCGGCAACTTCTTCGTCGCACATCTCGAATTCGTCTGAAAAGAATAATGAATAATTAGTTCAGAGATTCTGATTACCTAATATATTGAAACTTTGTGATTGATACCATATTAACGTAGATCCTGTGGGCAGGTAACCCACGCATTGTTAACAAATAAGTATGCAAGTGGGCGAATTGCGAATCGGAACCAAATAAGGTGGTACGCATCAAAAAAATCGATAAAACGTGGCATGTGATGCCACATGGATTCAGTCTAGAAAGAGTCGTTCTGTAATACGACGCGAGAAAGTAGATTCAAATTCGCGACGAGAATTACTTTCTAATTGGATTGGCCAACTGGCACACAGCTATGATAATATTTTAATCTCAAACCGGTGGGTCGACCACGCCCTACCGCAAAACTACAATTAAATCCCGGAATTCTGGGACCGGCGCGTCACACGATTCACCCCTATTGCTAATGTCACTGACCGCACACACTAATCTCGATGCACCAATCCTCTAACAACCGTTAACCGTTATCACAATCACTTAATATATTGAAGACACAATGAAAATAACTTACTTTTAATTAAATAGTTCTATTATAAATAAATAAATTAACTTGCTATTGCACAGCTTCGTTATTGCTGTACAACGCAACGACCCAAGCTCACTTCGTGGAATGTCGGTGAGTGCGCTTGGCGGACTATATAAATGAGGCTGGTTATCGGTGTGCCCCTGCCCCGCCGCCGCAGCCTCTCCTCCAATCGCGCGCTAGGGTACAATACACGAAGTTTTGTGTCCATATATGGTATTACAGCAGAGGGAGTCTGCGCGTCCCCCTCCCGCCATACCGCTAATATCGCATTGCTTGATAACGGCAAGATTCCCAACGGAACTTGCAATATCATTTCAGCAAGCAGTGACACTACATTTACGGAGTATATTATACTATTATACGGGATCTGAATACACGGGAACGGGTACAGCACTATGCTTAGGCTTGGAAACAAATTTTGTAGCTGCGAGTTGGCAATAATCCAAAATGCATCTTGATTGATTTATAGCATCTACGGAACACAAGGCATTCTGAATTAAAGTTGAGACAGACATTGACATTGACCGCAACCTAATTCCAAATATTAATAGCCTATTTATTTCGTTTAAAAATAAGCAATTAAGGAAAGAATACATTCTACGTGTAAAAAAAAATCTACTTACGAAATTAGTAAGATGTAGGTGTGACAAGATGAAAATTAAACGCCCTGCAGTGACTGCTAACCGTGAGAAACAGATACCGATTGCCGGCCGGTGTCCCTGCTCAACGCAATGCTTGCTTGTGTTGGAGTGGAGGTCGATTTGCTTCACTAGAATACGCGATACGCCGGCGCCTCGTGACACAATGAACTCGCCCAATGGACCTTTGCAAGTGCAATAAAATCACCAATATTTCGACAAAGTCTTTGACAAATACGTATCAAACGTCAATTTTGATAGTTTTAATTTTTATCTAAAAAGCTTTGTAGTATTTTTGAATTACGAATCTTTTATGAATTCGCAAAAAAAATGGACTCGCCCAACTTCGAGCCCCCCGCTACTCCTTTGAACCGATGGCCTTACCATATATGGGCATGAGTAAAATCGTCAACTCTGATTGGTGCACGCCAGCAACGGTCGTTGTACGAACATAGCGCTTACAAACTCATTGAAACAAATTTTCTCTGTGTGCATTCAAAGTTAAATAAAAAGATCTTTCCCATTCATATTATATATAATCATGAATATCATTTTGGGGCTTTTAACTTGAACAAAGCAATTCTTAAAAAGCATGAATAGGGAAACGGTGTCTTTTAATTTATGATGACCTATAGAAAAGGCTCGTTTGAAACAGACGTGCCTTATCTTAGTCATTAATTAATTTCACATTGTGAAGAAAGAAAGCCTCGATTATTATGAGACTGGATGGTTTTGAAATTAAGTTTGATGATATAGGTACATAAAGATAGATTGTTTTTGCTGTTAATATAAGCAGCGTCCTGGGTGGGTGGTATCTTTATTTTGTTTTCTCCATAGTTAAGTAGGTAAGCTGTTTGCTAATGTTCGGTTTAATGATGGTTTAATGCATATTGAATTCAGTTATCAGTTATACATAACGTGACCATATTTTTTTTCTTGTCAAAGCGGGACGCCTACGGAATTTCGTATATAAATAAATACATAAATAGGGTAGGTCGGGATAAGATATAATATTTAAGTGCAAAATAAAACATATGGTTTAAAAAATTAGGTACTTGAAATAATTTATTACGGTATCTTACCCTCACTGACATCTTAATTCTCACACCAAACTTGCCCTTAAAATAATATTTATAAATAATTTCGCAACAAAAAACTATTTTTCTACAGCAAAATTAGTTACTTTATTATGTATTTTGTAATACATTAAGGATTTGGGATAAGTAAATATTCGGTAAGTTTCTAATAAACACATGCACAACAGATAAATGAAAGCGGATAAAACATTTTTGTTCTGGTTGGGGACAGCGAGACGGTCAAATCGCAAATCGGGACGTGTGGTGGTTTGATTATATACGTGTATATAGGTAATCAAAGCGTTAGTTATACATATACCTAGACTGCCGGTTAAGATTTATTTTTATTCTCATTCTGAGAATGCAAAAAAACCCTTACGAAATGTAAGTAATATATACTATCTATACTTCTATACTATATATACTATAATATAATATTATAAAGAGGAAAGATTTGTTTGTTTGTTTGTTTCGAATAGGCTCCGAAACTACTGGACCGATTTGAAAAATTCTTTTTCCATTAGAAGCCGACATTGTCCCTGATGAACATAGGCTACTTTGTTTAAAAAAAAAATTATTTTATTTTTTTGGTTTCATGTGTGTTTTAATGTTTCCGAAGCGAAGCGAGGGCGGGTCGCTAGTAGGTATACCATAAATCTATTTCTCTTCACGCCTTCTAAGACTGAATAAAAGCTATGATCATTAGGTACATATTATCAAAAGACTCACTGCTTTAAATTTATTGTGCCTACACAACACAGTGAGAGGGATACATATTAATATGTATTAAGACGCGGCGACTCTGAGAAGTCTTCGTTTAGATCTGATAAATTAAAACCAATTAGCGCATTATTGCAACTGCTTCGCTCCGTTGAAATCAGCTTTTCTACTAGAAAGTGCTCGGTTTTCACACGTTTATTTTCGTAATTTTATTAAACGAACAATAACCTCTATGTTCTCATTCTTTATATTTCAACATTTTATATTTGAAACACTTTTAATACATACATATTAAAATAAAACAAATTAGACACTAAAAATAGCAACTTTAGTACAATTATTTTTTATTTTCGAATTGAGTTATATAAACTCACAAACAAGGTATTAAATGGTAAGTGGAACCTATAGATATCTCAAAGTGACTTTCACCACGCATCCACCTTGAGACATATGAACAAATTGTTTTAAATTAACATTTCTTTTTTCGCTTCTTAATCTCATCAATAATTAATTAAAATTACAGTGTCTAAGAGAAAACAAAAATAAATTTTATAAATTTAAAAATAAAGTAAAACTATTTTAGTACATAATTTAATTAATCTGTAATTTTCTGTAATCTGACAACGAAGCATGTTGCGGTTAATAACATGTACTTTACACAGGTACTAACAGGTACTAGCAGTTACTTTTAGGTTAGGAATATTATGTAATTATTTTTTTTATAATAAATATTAAATAAATTTAATTACCATGACATGAGGTAAATTGGGATCCTGGGGTAAATTGGGACAAACCTGCGGAAGATTCTCAAAGTACCTGTAGCACGGAATCTACCTAATTTTGTTTATGTTAATATTTATCAATGTATAGAAGAAAAACCAAGTTAACTATGGAAGTACTAAATATGAGTTAAGTTGGTCCCAAAAATTCGTCAAATTAAATTGAAAATAGTGGTTGAAAANTTTGAATATAATCGTCTCCTTCAAAGAATACGGTTCAAAACCTGCATTAAATAAAGGTTAATACTTAACCTGTTATTTATCTAAGATGTCGTTCAGGAGAGTTTTGTGACTGCCAATGGAATACAAAGTCAATAATTCGTTTTTCTGATTTACCAATAATTGTCCAAAAGTCACATTGCCGGCTTTGATAATAGTCGACTCAAATACAAGTAGCGCTTGTCTATGGCACCGTTTCGACATAGGCACCATGCTTGCTATCTTTTCGTGTAAAATTTCTTCTACCTAGTAGTTTTATCGGTATGTCGAGGGTAGGGCTATATATTCGTAATTGTATTCTATAAGCTCTCACGGTGTCATGTCTCAATGTCGATGGCGGCACTCACGCTGTAATGTCCATGGACTTCACTAACCACTCAACGCCCTATAACTGTAATGTGATCTTTGCGCAGGGGGCCAAGTGCTGTCGACGCGGTGCACGGAGCTGTACCAGATAAAGTCGAAGCAGTACTGGGTGCTGGGCGTGCCGGTGCTGTGGGTGCACACGTCGCCGCGGAACGCGCTCACGGCGGGCGCCGCGCCGGCCGACTGCTGGGCCTTCCAGGGATTCCCCGGCTACCTGGGTACGTACGGTCGACACCAGAACCGTAGCGACGAGAGCAATTCTTTTTTTTTTATTGCCCTTATAGGCAAACGAGCACACGGCCCACCTGATGGTGAGTGGTTACCGTCGCCCATGGACCTCAGCAATGCCAGGGGCAGAGCCAGGCCGCTGCCTACCGCTTAATACTCTCCACAAGCTTCTTTTAAAGAAGGACATGTCATAGCGCTCGGGAAACACCGTGGAACGGAGCTCATTCCACAGCCGGATGGTACGTGGCAAAAAAGACCTCTGGAAACGCACTGTCGATGAACGCAGCGGCAAATCTTTTTTTTTTGCTTAGGTGGGTGGACGAGCTCACAGCCCACCTGGCGTAAAGTTACTAGAGCCCATAGACATCTACAACGTAAATACGCCATCCACCTTGAGATATAAGTTCTAAGGTCTCAGTATAGTTACAACGACTGCGCCACCCTTCAAATCCTGTGTGTCAAATCCCTGGTGGTGGTGCCTACCCGTGCGGATTTACAAGACGTCCTACCGCATCTCTCGTCGACTGAAATTTTTGAAATGTATCCAAAAGTTACCCGCCGATCGTGTGGAGATTGTTGCGAGCTGCACCTAAAGCTCACGGTTCCGTTAATGTCATTGTTAAATATTACTTTGACTGACGTTGGATGTGCTCGAGTGACGTGGCTATGAAATCATGAGCAAGCTGAATTAACTGGTCCCGGCTGGCCAAAAAATACAGAAAAAAAGAGAAAAATCTTCGAGTCCTTGAATAAATGTTTATCCTGCTAATTTTAAAATGCAAATGAATGACAATGAAAATTTTCTCTATCTTCACCATTCTAAACAAAAGCGACAGACTTGAGCTTTAATAAACTCTACTCTACGTATATATGTACCTAACACGTGCTCACTAACGTTCATCGCGACGGAGCGTCGTTGTGAGCTCCGCGAGATGGCGCTGGCGACGGACGGTTTCATACTTCGACTTCATAAACATGGAGGATAGAAGTAAGGAACACCATCTCAGTGTATTAAAATGTGTTCGCTGAAAAAAAACCAAATAAGATGGCGCCACAGTAGCAAGTGGAAAGATTAAAAAAACGGCGTCATAAACTACCACATTTCATTTCAACCCAGCACACTTTTGAAGTCATCGCCGCAGCCGTTGTAACTATACTGAGACCTTAGAATTTATATCTCAAGGTGGGTGACCCATTTACATTGTAGATGTCTATGGGCTCCAGTAACCACTTAACACCAGGTGGGCTGTGAGCTCATCCACCCATCTAAGCAATAAAAAAACTACACTGTTTAAAACTGCTATATAAATATACCTAGCATGATATGAATATCATTTCCACTTCCTACACTAGAGCGCTATTTCGGTGAGTCTTCCAACAACAACTTCTGTTTACAAATGGACACTTTTCCAACTTGTCCCCAATAGAAGATGGTGCTTTTTGTCTCTACCCTCCATAAACATCATTCATTCTCCTGCCCTCCTCCCAGTCATCGGTCGGCGCAACATGTTTTCTCCTTCCATACTCTTCTATCATATACCATTTGTTCGCTCACTCTTTCGCATCGTCTTTCACGCAATCCATCCATTTCTTAGGTCTACCTCTTCCTCTATATCCTTCCACATTCATAGTTAACATTCTCTTACCAACCTCATTTTCATTTCGTCTCGTCACATGTCCATACCATCCCAAACGCGCACTCCTCAGCTTCTCTGTCACAGGTGCCACTTTCAGACTTCCTCTAACATATTCATTCCGTATTCTATCCATTCTCGTTACTCCACACATCCATCGCAACATTCGCATCTCTGCTGCATGCAATCGCCTTTCATCCGCCACTTTAGTTGACTAAACAAACATGAATCACTAAGTAATTGAGACTATTTTAATTGCAGTCATAAAGACGTACGCGATAATAGAAGTGACCGGGTTCTCGTTGGAGCACATGTCCAAGTTACTCGCCATCGACGGAAAGATTGAATCAGCTCCCAAGAACTTCTCAGTATACGTGAGTACATAATTTTTGGACACAAAAAACACACACACACACACACACACACACACACACACACACACACACACACACACACACACACACACACACACACATAAACAAAACGATGATCTACATTAGAAAAATATGTACTATATTTTTCTCTTTACTGCGTTATTAAATGCTAAAATTAAGTTTGCAATAAAATTTAAGAATGAATTGGAATCGGTCACGGAATTAAACCTCGGCCGTACCGTCAGTTCTTCAGAAGATGATGTTTAAATAAATAAAAATTAAATGAATCAGTCCTACTGGTCGTAGCCCGTCCGCTTCACCGCCCAAACTTGACTCGGGTCCGGCTGCTGCCAAACTAGGACCAACTAGGCCAATCTAAAGATTTGCTGAAAATATCAGTCTTATAGTAACATACATATGTACGCTTAGTACGTACATACATACATACGTTTTATTCGTCTCTAATTATATCAAGCGGGAAATTAACCGGTTGAGAAATAAGAAATTTCTAAAACTATCTTTTTAGTGCTGCTCTGATGCACGTGTTCATAGTCAATTAATGACAGATTCAATTGGTCACCGTCCTCGTCGAACCCGTGGCTTGCGACGAAGGGCTCGACGAGTAAATTAATCCACAAATACAGCCCACCGAGTTTCTCGCCGGATCTTCTCAGTGGGTCGCGTTTCCGATCCGGTGGTAGATTTTGCGAAGCACGACTCTTGCTAGGGTTCGTGTTAGCAACACTATCGGTTTGAGCCCCGTGAGCTCACCTACTAGTTTGGTGAATCTAGAATAACCCCTCGAGGTTACTAGGATAAGTAGAAATAAAAACAGATTCAGCAAATTGACGAGTGAAACTAATTTTTTTTAAGGGATTTTATGACCTGGTCACTAAGACCTTTAAGTCACGTCTTAATTTAATTAATATTCTTATTTTTATGACAAATGATAATATGGAGTGAAATGAAATTAAGATGATTAATTTGAGACATTAATCAACTGGGATGAAATTAAATGAAATGAGATGATATGGGCTGAAATATAATCTTAGTAAAATGGTGGTCATTTACTGAGATTTTTAGTGGACTTTTTGGAGGATCCCGAGAAGTTACGTCCAGCGGCTTTGTTTCATTTTCTCACACTTTCACAGATATGAAACAGTTAATAAACCACCGTTATTACACATTTAAACCTGAAGAAACACTAAATAGACAAAATAAAACAAATCGCACAACTTCGCTTCTCGCGTTCCCGCCAAAAAGTCCGAGTGAAACTAATAACTAATATAATGTTGCCAGCAAATGAAATAGTTCTCGTTACCAGGGTCTCCACGGCGAACTGGATCCGGAGCCCCACCTATTCGGCGACTACATGTACGACGCCGACGGAAAATCAATACAATATTTCCCGGTGAAGCATCCGAAGACGACCAACATTGACGGCATAGAGTATCCCGTCGCCTACGACATCGTGGAGCTGCGCATCGAGAGCAACCATGGCAACCCCACGTACACCTGCGTGTACAGGTTCCGCGTGCACGGCAACCCGCTCGCCGACGTGCGACGCGCGGCGGAGGACAGTATGCACGACAGTCAGCTGTAGCAAAGACGTCCAGACACGTACGTCCCACGTATGATATTAAGCAGAGGAATCTAAATCGAATATGTGCGAGCGAATATTGTGTTCAATCCGGGTCATTCCTAGTTCAATAGTGTAGGTGTTAATAGAAGTGCCCTTAATTCGTTTTTTTTTTTTTTAAATTGAAAGGTGACTTTTTTAAGTGAACAGTACTACTGGATATTTTATTATACTGTTTATTTCCAAAGACATTTTTTTTTGTAAAATAAAAAAAAAGTAATAATAAATTATGTACAAAATTATAAAAATCGCACAATCTTCTATCTGTGTACGCTTATTGGTTTTTTTCTTTTTATTTATATCTATTTGTATCGTTACGTGTATTTTAAATCTTAATTAAGGGTTTTAATTTTTTAGCTATAAATTGTAAGCCGAAAATTCATCTATTGACAAAGACTACAATATAATTTTTTTATCTGGGGTTAGTTTTCGGTTTAATTAAAATATGATTAATTACATAAAACGTAAAAAGCGACTACAGCAGCTTTCACAATTGTTTTAAAGTAAATATTTAAGTAACATTACATAATAAATATCACATGTTATAAAATTAAGATCGGACTATGAATTTAATTTTAAAAATTGTAGTTTTAGTAAAGGAACTAGTCCATTTAGAAGGATAAATGCCAATTATATATATTGTTTAAGGTTTTTATTTTATTGTCTCAAATATTTTAACTGAGTTAATAGACGCACAGCCCTGTTCACTTTGACGATCTTGTTTAGTTCAATAATAATGTTTAAAAAAACTTATTCTGTAAACTTAACCCTGAAAATCTCGACGATGTTACTACGTCAGGCAAAGATGAAACATGAAAGTTTTTCAATCGCATTCGGTTCTATTTCGTTGTAGATTTTGGCAGAACAAGAAAGAAAAAAAAACGACCATTTTAGGATAAGAATTATTTAAGTGAAAAAAATCACAGACCAAGTCTAGACCATTTTAACTACAAAAAGATCCAACTTTCCGCTTCTATGCATGACGTTGCGAAATCTATTACTATATAATATATTAGCGTGTCTCCATATTTATGAAATTACAAAACTTCTTTTTCGTCTAAATAAAGACGCCGTGCAATATTGGGACACTGAGAAAATCAATTGAAAATGTATGCAGTTCTCTCCATGCCTGAGTCAATTATTAAAACAAAATTAAGTAAGAATTTTAAATGACTGTCCTACAACATCCTTCAAAAACACTATTTAAAAATATATATTATAAATCAAGAAAGGAAGTGGTGTTAAGTACACTTAAAATTTAATTAAGATTTTTTTGTACAAGGTAGTTTGGTTAAGTCTATCATTGCGCAGTTATATCACTCTTCACATCTTTTGAAATCTTATTTAATGTATATTCACAAACCAATAGATATTATTTTCTGATATTTTTTAAGGTTCAATTAAGAATAGCACTTTTTCACTCGAGGCAAACTTAGATCTGTTGTGGGACTAATTGAATTGAAACTTATTTTTTTATTTTAGTTTGTTTACTGTAAATACAGACACAATAAAACGTTAAGTTAGCAATATGTGGAACATGGAACAAATTAAGATTAAGTAAACTTAAATTCGAATAAATCTAAGATTATAGTACACCAAAACAAGGGTCGGTTTAGTATCAGTATATTATGATTACACGGGAATCACACAGTTTTCATAAGTCCAAGTGTACCGTACACTTGCAGAGAGTCGATCTTGAAGGTTCCTCGTATCAAAGCAAGAGCATATTCGAATTGCTAAGCCACCATAATTCCAAAAACAATGAGTATCCCTAAAGCAGATAAATATTTAAACAAAACTGGAACAAGTTGCAGAAGCTAATGATATTTTAGGCATAAGAGGTACCTTAAAATCGCAGTGACTGTGAACCGTCAAGTGCATCCTGCCGACCAGATTTGCAAGTTAGTTAACACAGAAATAATTTAGTATACTACAGTGTGCTTAGTGCGAGTTTTTTAACGATCTGGATAGCGTAAATGTTAGCTCTTATTTGTATGGAACGGGATCGTTTGTGTACGTTTGCCGCTAGGGGCGCTGTTCCAACTGCATACAAAAATGGGTTAACTTTTACGCTATCGAGAACGTTAAAAAACTCGCACTAAGCACACTGAGAATTTTATATTTCGGATAACAAAAATGGAGTCAGCGGAACCCAATCCAATGACCTAGGAAAAGATAATCACATTTTTATACAAAGTACATTAAATACTAACCAAATAAATTAGTTAAACTATATTTTAGATGTGTTTTAATAAAAGAAAATAAACATTGAAATTAGAGTACAGTTTATCTAGATTCTAGAATACGCTCATAAAATACATTGTCACTAGAGAATCGAAACAGAATGCAGTTTTGTGTATAATAATCATGTTGTTAATTTTATTTGACAGAGAATGTGCTTGAATTTTGTGTTTTAAGTGTTTTAGTCTAAGAAATTAACATTTTATGGAGTTACCACTATCAATAGTTTTTTTTTCTTTCATAAGTTACATTTTATGCCGAATATTTTTTACACGTTGCAATATTTACCGAGATATGAAATATTACTACTATGCATTGTTGCAACTGTAATTCACTAAATATCAAATTCAGTAGCAATGTATGTATAGCACTCAGAGCATGTCTGCTGATATGTACTTTGGACTGTTAAAAAAACAAGATTACATTACATATAACTATATTTGTTCACCAAATGTTCACTAAGTTTTATAAATTGTAAAATATTTAAAAGAAAGATTTTTTAAATTACGTAACATCGAAAAAAATTTGTAAATAGCAATTTTTAACTTATTTTAAATGCTGCTTTTTCTTTTATATTCATTTTGTGATGTTTGAAATAAAATTGTAAACATAATATTGTCTTTGATTTTTGTAAAACTCAATTCATTATTTAAAACACGAATGTAGGTACCTATTCTGTATTCCTGCAGTTTAAAAACAAAGATATTATTTTAAAGTCAAGAGATAATAGGCTATTTTAAGAAACAATCCATGTACATGGTACAGGTTTAAGTTAAAACGCATAGGTATAGGATGTACGGAAACCGGATGGCGTCCAAAAACACTGATTCTAAATCTGTGACACTGCTACCTACACATATTGGTTAAGAAACATAAAAATATCAAGTAAATATGTATGTAATGCCAAGCATTTACAGCAATTTACACAAGAACACGGTCGTTCAGTATAGGAGACTAAGTACCTACCTATCTGAATTTGTCCTAACAGCAACAGTGTAGTGCATACCCTAGATGCTTTCAGTCACCATAACGGTTATACTTTAGAGTAGGTAGGTATGTACCTATATATCAAGTAACAGAAGTCTGCTCAAGAAACGGCACTTTTTATTATTACCTATATACCTAGGTAGTCAGTAAAATGAAACCACTCGTCGAGTTCGATCACCCGTATTGCATCCAAGTGGAATTATGGTCGATCTTAATTCTTGGCATATTTGGTTTTTTTTTTATTACCCCTCTAGGCAAACGAGCATACGGCCCACCTGATGGTGACCACTCACCCATGGACTTCAGCAATGCCAGGGGCAGAGCAAAGCCGCTGCCTACACTGGGTGTCTTATGTACCTGGTTTTAACAAAATAGTTGTAGGTATTAATTACGGACCAGATTTTGTTTGACCAGTACTAAGCAAATATTAATCGGTATGCAGGTTTGTGGTCACACTGCGTCATAAGGCTCGGGAAGTTTAGAAAAAAAAGACAGGTATAATTTTTCGGACTTTTTTTTGTATTTTTTTTTAAATTTGTTTTTTATAATTTATAAATGACCTAGTAAGAAAGTAGTCTTATCCGTTTCAGCACATACAATCATCATTCATGAGATTACAAAAAATCCTTTGGCGAGTGCAGTACCGGGCCGGCGGTCGAGGCGCGCCCGCGGCGCCGCGCTCCGTCCTGCCGTCACTATTACGTTAATTACAATAATATCTTACGTACAATTAAATTAACGGAGATTACAAGCCTGAATTGAGCAGCCGGCCGCGGGCTGCTGGAGGCAGCGACGCGCGGTGCGTTTAGAAGCACTTCCTGTGTACAATGGAGGGGCCAGACTCGTCGTACTCTTGTTTCGAGATCCACATTTGTTGGAAGGTAGAGAGGGAGGCGAGGATCGATCCACCGATCCATACGGAGTACTTCCTCTCTGGAGGAGCAATGATCTTAATCTTCATTGTCGATGGGGCGAGAGCTGTGATTTCCTTTTGCATACGGTCGGCGATTCCAGGGTACATGGTGGTACCACCGGACAATACGGTGTTGGCGTACAAGTCCTTACGGATGTCCACGTCGCATTTCATGATGGAGTTATATGTGGTCTCGTGGATGCCGCAAGCTTCCATACCCAAGAACGAGGGTTGGAAGAGAGCCTCTGGGCAACGGAATCTTTCGTTTCCGATGGTGATGACCTGACCGTCGGGAAGTTCGTAAGACTTCTCGAGGGAGCTGCTGGATGCAGCGGTGGCCATCTCCTGCTCGAAGTCAAGAGCGACGTAGCACAGCTTCTCCTTGATGTCACGAACAATTTCCCGCTCGGCGGTGGTAGTGAACGAGTAGCCGCGCTCGGTGAGGATCTTCATGAGGTAGTCTGTGAGGTCGCGACCGGCTAAGTCCAGACGCAGGATGGCGTGGGGGAGTGCGTATCCCTCGTAGATGGGCACGGTGTGGGAGACACCGTCGCCGGAGTCCAGCACGATACCGGTGGTACGACCGGACGCGTACAGCGAGAGCACGGCTTGGATGGCGACGTACATGGCGGGCGTGTTGAATGTTTCGAACATGATCTGGGTCATCTTCTCTCTGAAACAGAACAAAGTCACTCGTTAGATAACGGTCGATAACGGCCCACCGGCCGAGAGGCAAAGTGCATGGTCCAGCATTGATGAGCTCACCTGTTGGCCTTGGGGTTGAGGGGAGCCTCAGTGAGCAGGACGGGGTGTTCCTCGGGGGCGACACGGAGCTCATTGTAGAAGGTATGATGCCAAATCTTCTCCATGTCATCCCAGTTAGTGACGATTCCGTGCTCGATGGGGTATTTGAGGGTCAGGATACCTCTTTTGCTCTGTGCCTCGTCTCCTACGTACGAGTCTTTCTGTCCCATGCCGACCATCACACCCTGATGGCGGGGCCTTCCGACAATCGAGGGAAATACGGCGCGAGGAGCATCATCTCCTGCGAAACCGGCCTTGCACATACCGGAGCCGTTGTCTACTACCAACGCGGCAACTTCCTCGTCGCACATCTTGAATTAGTCTGCAAGAAAAGAAAAAAACAATTCAAACTACATTCTCATTCTATACATTATGCTTAATAAACGACAAATTTATTTGCGTTCATCAATTTAGTGACGTTAAAGAAAACTAACTAAAATTATTAATTCACTGTTCCTAATTTCTATTTCCGAATTGATCGATTCAAGTGAACACTTGGAAATGTGCGTCCAATAAACTTATTTCTTATTTAGTAGCAACGGCATTACACTAATTCCGAAAACTGTTTTTTTTTATAAAAAATTTCACTTCACTAGTTATGCAACAATTATGTAACGTAACACGTTATCATTAGCGTATTATTAAAAAAAAAAAACACTCAAACATATGTAATACTTAAAGGTAAAGGGACGGAGAACCTTCGAAATTCAAATTTTACAAATAAATAAATATGTTTTTTTTTCTTTCGCAATTTTAAAATTAAAACTTACATAGTATTATTAAATAAGTGACAAGTAGGTACGTAGATGCGAATGCGCACTGTTCGAGCACACCTTAGTAAATGAGAACCGACTCGTGAGGATAAACTATATAAAAGAGCCGTTATCACAATTTACACAGTATCGGCTCCAGTTTGTTTTTCCACCAATCGCGGGCTGACTCAGTTTTTGTCACCATATATGGTAACGCGCACGCTATCAGCTCGCATCTTTTGATAAGGCGATGCCTTGATAACTGATTAAGTTAGCGGCACCTCGCGGTCGCTTGTAACCTCTCCCCGACTCCCGCCGAAGTTTCATAGAATTTCACTCGACGTGCTTTCACTAGATTCTGTACCGATGTAAATCATAACCCAGAAAATCCGGTTAATTAATCTCAAAAATTCGTGTACCGTAGTAGAACTATATTACTAGATAATTTATTCTTTTTAATTATAATTATGAAGAGATCAGAAAGCATCACTAACTGAAGCTAGATGAAAAGATAAAAATCTGTATGATAATGATATCGTAGCGGCTCGTTGCGCACAGATCCGTTCGTCTATGTTTCTTGTGATCGCACTGTGGGCAATTTGAGAGGTAAAAGTTGTTTGTTATCAGCGGCTCTTGAATGTACGTAAATCTTATCTGCCGCATTCTTGGTAACCTCGCTTTATCGAAACTCCAAAATCGGCTCTGCTCGTTGTTACTATACAGTATATTTGTGTGTGATTATTTTCCATTGTCGGTGAAGAAATGAAAAACGTGAAAAACAACTGTAAAAATACGGAATCTATGTTACGGACTTCAAAAATATTTATTTTTAATTTTTTATTGCTTAGATGGGTGTAAGAGCTCACAGCCCACCTGATGTTAAGTGGTTACTGGAGCCGATAGACAGCTACAACGTAAATGCCGCCAACCACCCTGAGATGAGGTCTATGGTCTCAATATAGTTACAACGGCTGCCCCACCCTTCAAACCGAAACGCATTACTGCTTCACGGCAGAAATAGGCAGGGTGGTGGTACCTACCCGTGCGGACTCACAAGAGGCCCTACCTACCACCAGTAAAAAATATGTATGTATGTATGTAGTATGTAACATCTTCAAGATTTCTTGGAACTGCTCTAAAAACGGGTAATGATTGAACTCGTAATGGTTCATGACAGGTACATGAGAATGTAAAGAGTCGCATTCGTAAAACTTGTCAGTTCCTATTTACCAATGTTTTCTTGATCTTACGCAATATAAAACGTTTAAACCAACAGGCAATTACTTGAGTTAATGATTTTTGTCATTTGTTAGTTTAGCAGCTTATTGACGTTTCAGGTTCGAGAATATTCCACTTACGCTCAGAATAAATTGAATCATCATTATCCTGCCCTTCTCCCAGTAACCTGGGGTCGGCGCAACATGTTTTCTACTTCCAAACTCTTCTATCATATACCATTTCTTCGCTCACTCCCCTCTTACCCATATCGTCTTTCACGCAATCCATCCATTTCTTCTTAGGTCTACCCAAACGCCATCCCAAACGCGCACTTCTCAGCTTCTCTGTCACAGGTGCCACTTTCAGACTTCCTCTAACATATTCATTCCGTATTCTATCCATTCTCGTTACTCCACACATCCATCGCAACATTCGCATCTCTGCTGCATGCAATCGCCTTTCATCCGCCACTTTAGAATAAATTGAATGTTTTAATTATTTAAGTTTTTGCTTTTTCGAATTCTCTGCATACAATAAACCGTTAATAGATTGAGTTTCAGCTTTGTATTTGTTGGTAGTTCAAAAGTATGTATTTTACAAAGTGTTGCCGAAGTTCGGTAATTCTCAATGTCATTTACAAATATGATATAGCTATATCACCAATTCTTGGTATTTTGGTCAGACGATGTTGATGAGAAGAAGAAGAAGAAGATGTTGATGATAAGATTTATCGGAAGATATAGGTAGGCGACAATATGGCATATGGTACAGCTGCCACATTTTCATCATTATTCCCTAGTATTATCTCTAGTGTTATCTATTTTCGTACCTGTGTAGTTTTTATCGGTATTTGGTAACGTAATCGGGTGTGTATCGTCATCCTGGCAGTTTCTGAGGCAAATCAATCATACGATATAATATGTAAGGCCTTTCTACTAAGTAGACTTCCTTTTAATATTTCAGGTCTTTCTTTTCAGGTCCTCCTTTCATATTACTTCCTTTTAATGTAATAGGCTGCGGCTTCTACGATATGGAGGCCTTGGTATCCGGTAATTACTTAATACCTTAGCCACAAATCCGTATGCTTCTTAAAACAAAAAAAACTGCTACCATAAACGATAGAAATTCTTTGCCAAAATATTACTGAAAAAAAATATTGATTGAATCGCTATTCTGGCACCCTCCGATGTTGACCGTCACGATCAATACACGACCCCTCGTCTGAGAAGAATAATTCGTTTAAAATAAGTTTTAGTAGGTACGTATTAGTCTGCGTGTATCGATCTGGTTCCCGGGGAGAAGGTGGCGCATCTGTGGGCGAGCTAGGGGTGTAGTCTGACTCATTCCACCGAGCACAGACAAACTGCATTTCTGAAACACCTCCCTGTACGTACTAGGGGTATGTATGTATATATTATGTACATATTATGTGGGAAGAACGGTTATTTTTTAAATTATAATTTGCCAATTTTTTTTTGCAGTTTTTAATTTTTTTACACTGGCACTCTAAAAAAAGAAAAACGGATGAGCGTCTATGTGAGTTATTGGTTGTCATTACTGTCCCGAGTGGTATTTTGAAACACAGGCTTTAGTGTTAAAATCCGCTAGTTTTGGCCATATTGCCCTACAATCCCACAAATACGTATATTTAGAAAAAAATAGTTCTTTTATATTGAAAAAATATCCGATTATAGTTGTCTTGTTAAAATTTTAATTAATCCGTTCGTAAGAGCTCAGTTTAGTTAGTAAAAGAATAGTTAGAGGACTATACCAAAAATATAAATCAAGCGATGTCAAGTATAGTGGAATGAAAAAATCCTCAATGTTAAATGTTAATGTGTTCTATATGTTTTTTTTTTATAACTGACCAAAACGTGCCCTCGTAATATGACTCATAGGTTGTTTTCTCGGAACATTTCAAGCATGAGTCATAGAATGTAATCGATTTGATTGGTGACGATTCGTCTCCTTCACAGTATTCTCGATGACTGTCAGATATTTAATCAATAATGTCGTCATTTAACTCTTTTGAATGGTGTTTACAATTAGCCAAAAACAATTCAGTACAGTTTATATAACGATTTCATGGTAAAATTATTAATTATTGTTTGGAATAACATAAAATAAACTGATTTAAGTATTATTATTCAATTATGAAAACGAATAATAAAATTATTAGCCAAAAAATGAAAATAAAACGTAACCTAACACCGATCTTCGATTAATAGGTACTTAGGTAGTGTGATAAATATTCTCGTAGCTAACAAAGGAATTATGTATTTAGTTAGCATAAACGAAATTCAATTTTTAAACCAATCATAGATACTATGCTCGATTTATTAAGTTAAATAAAAGTATGGAGGATAAAAGTAAGGAGGTTAAAAGTATTTAGAAATGTCCACTGAGAGAGAGCAAATAATGGTGGCGCCACAGTAGCAAGTAGAAAGATTTTAAAAACCTATAGTTGCACCTAAAAAGCTACTTTGAAGAGATTAAAAAAAAAGCTAATGCATGAAAATAACGGTAGGCAGCGGCTTGACTCTGTCCCTGGCATTTCTGACGTCCATGAGCGACGATAACCACTCATCATCAGGTAGGCCGTATGCACATCGTCTATAAAGGAAAAAAAACTAATTAGGGATGCCACAAATAATTTGTGTCTGAATAAATTTAAATCAGTAAAGAAAAATTACCACCACCCTATTTCTGCCGCGAAGCAGCAAAGCGTTCCGGCTTGAAAGGTGGGACACCTGTTAAACTATAAATTAAGATAATCCTTATGTCGCAAGGTGGGTGGCTGCCATAGATAAGACGGCTGCATTCAGGCTATGATATCTATGGGCTTCACTTACCACTTCAAAAAGAGGAGGTCTATACAATTTGCATCATAAATTAGAGTTTTTTTTTATGGCTTAGGTGGGTGGACAAGCTCACAGCCCACCTGGTGTTAAGTGGTTACTGGAGCCCATAGACATCTACAACGTAAATGCACCACTCACCTTGAGACATAAGTTCTAAGTTCTCAGTATAGTTACAACGGCTGCCCCGCCCTTCAAACCGAAACGCATTACTGTTTCACAGCAGAAATAGGCGGGGTGGTACCTACCCGTGCGGACTCACAAGAGGTCCTACCACCAGTAAAAATTGGAACATATAACGCGGACATCCCTATATGCGCCGTGGGTCACAGAGGGGGATGCATGCGGACGGGGCGGGAGTAGACGCCGCGCCGGTGGACCACTATGCTTTAGTTATCATATACCACAGAAATAATATCAGAATCTAATCTTGATTTGATAATGTGTCATAGACAATTAATATACTTTTAGTTTGTGAGCGATTAATTGATAGAGGAAAGGTGTTTAATTGTGTTTAGATCAGCTACCTATCTTTTAATTAATATTATTTCGTGGTTCGCTGTTCAGACATCATTAAACTACCTATACCTTCGACTGTAATGATTTTAATTCGTTATAAACATAGAATTCATGACGTAATTTTCCTTGTAGGTATCTGTACAACCGTGTTGTGTACTAAATTCATTTAAACCACATTGGTTTATATAAATTTAGATACGTCATGATGACACACTTGTGGAATGTCAAAATATTTATTGTTAACCTATTGCCTTTACCAAAAATATTTCTTTTTATTGGAATGTTTATTTGGAGTGGACCAAAAATCGATTTTTTAAATAACTCCAAATTTTATATCGAAGACGGCTGGCAATTTTATTTTTGCATAATTGTATTTATTGAAATTAATTTTTTCATTTGCCCGGATTTTTTTTTCTCGTAGCGTGTTGTTGTGCTAACATTAATGTAACGAATTTGTATTATCTCCGTTTTTATTCCGATTTGTATTTTTCGTATTATCTCCGGTAAAAATAACATAATACCGTATA